ATAAGATATATTTTGGATTATGTTTTTGTTGTTTTAACATAACACAACTACGTACCTGCGAGACTCCAACGTAGCTTGAAGAAAGCTCATATGTTCCATTAGGGGCCATTGTTTCCTGCAAGTTGCACCCGATGTCGTGCTGCAGATATAAGATATATTTTGGATTATGTTTTTGTTGTTTTAACATAACCCAACTACGTACCTGCGAGACTCCAACGTAAGGTTATGTTCCATTAGGGGCCATTGTTTCCTGCAAGTTGCACCCGATCCTGAAGGTTTATTGCTTAAATTGATTCTGTATTTATCGCGCAAAGTTTTCCACCGTGTTTTGCACTCCAGCGCTTTATTCAAAAAAGTAAATATATAAAAAGGAACCATTTAAAAAGATAAAATCAATCTTAATGCAATTATTTATATAATGGATGATTCGATGTAGTCGTACATCATCCGTTATTACAAATATGTACATATCGTGCCATATTCGCCAAAAAAAAAGCTATTATTTTAAAATTTAAAATTATAGTTTAAAACAGAACTAGTTTGTAACAAAACTATGGTTTAAATTTCAAAATAATAGCTTTATTAAATCTGAATTTATTAAAACAAAACCTTCTCCTGTAAAATTTCAAATTGAGGGTTACGTTTTTTTTTTGGCGAATATGGCTCGATATGTATAAACAAATTCAAATCTGAAGACCTTTTCTCTTACGTGTACTGCACAATTCAATTCCTATGGTTTCCCCCGTTCGGTCTTTGAAATGAATGTCCTTGTAGAGAGGATCTCTTTTGTCCCACAGATGCGGGTGGTTTCGGACACATTCGATTCGATTTTCGTTTTCCATCTGTAATAGAATAATGTTTTATTGCAACTAATATTTTTATGTTTACCGATTTAGCTTACCATTTTCAAAACAAAAGTACGTTCTGTCAAAGTTGAATATTTTCAACTTTAAATTTTGTACGTTCGACGTATTTCGGTAACACTCATATAAATACATGTGTTCTACGAACGAGCAAGTCGAATTTTAGATAAGGCTGTTATAGTTGAATTTTTTCAACTTTGAAAATTCGTTCGTCGACGTATTTCGGTAGCATTCATATAAATCAAGGATGGAAAATTCAGTACAATAGTACTTTTTTCAGTACCTTTTTTCCCAAAAAAGTACCGTAGTACCCCCGTGACCATTTCAGTACCATTCCAATCCTCCATTAAACCATGATATATATACATTTTTTGGATTAGAGTTTGTTATGGATTTGACCGGCAAAAGTATTGCAGATAAAGATATTAATGTGATTGCAAATTTGTTCTTAAAAAATGAATGGGTTCACGACTGATAACTGTTCAGTTACGATTATAATTACAAACATTAAATTAATTTATCAGTTCCAATCTTTTTTAACCGGATATGTTTGTCAGATACTCAATTTGGCGTACTCTGATGATAATTTCAAGAGCACTTTGGAACTGAAATTCATGTTAGTTAGCATACATATTCAAATGCAATCGAAAGAAGGAAGAATTCTCATATTATTACCATCAGAAAGTTAGACTAAGTGATGATATCTTGAAATCGATCTTTATAAAACTGAATAATTTTTTTTTCTTGAAAAAAGTACTCTTTTATTACTTTTTACTTTTTCAAATTTTTCATTTTCCATCCCTGATATAAATACATGTGTTCTACTTTTGTGGTGAAAAACGTCGAACGAGCTAGTTGAAATTTAGGTAAGGCTTTTAAAATTAATAGATAATAGTACGTTTACATTTAACCGGATTTCGTTAACCCAGTGGGTTTCAATTGTCAATTCCTTTGCATATACGTCAAATAAATCATCATAAAGTAGGTTAGCCCGGTAAAAAGTTCTAATGTACAAGGAGTTTAAGTTCCAAATTAAAAAAAGGATGCCATGTTCAAATTCTCAAATGAGACAAAATGAGCCATTGGTCATAGAAATCGATGAACATTTTACATTTTTATTTAAATTTCAGAGAAGATATGGGAGCATAAGCCAAATATAATCTGATATAGTCCATACTCGTCATACTAGTTCTTACGAATATAGGCAGAATTTGTGTGCACATTTAGCAAAATATCTCAATTGGTTTAAAAGTTATTAATTTTCGACAACTATGCTCTGTAAACAATGGCGTGTATGCATGTATACACGTATCAGCTGAGTTTACGTTCCAAATTAAAAAAAGGTTGCCATGATCAAATTCTCAAATGAGACTACCTTCTGTAATACAAATATAATTTTTATAACTTCCACGAAAAAGCACTGATATAAATACATGTGTTCTACTTTTGTGGTGAAAAACGTCGAACGAGCTAGTTGAAATTTAGGTAAGGCTTTTAAAATTAATAGATAATAGTACGTTTACATTTAACCGGATTTCGTTAACCCAGTGGGTTTCAATTGTCAATTCCTTTGCATATACGTCAAATAAATCATCATAAAGTAGGTTAGCCCGGTAAAAAGTTCTAATGTACAAGGAGTTTAAGTTCCAAATTAAAAAAAGGATGCCATGTTCAAATTCTCAAATGAGACAAAATGAGCCATTGGTCATAGAAATCGATGAACATTTTACATTTTTATTTAAATTTCAGAGAAGATATGGGAGCATAAGCCAAATATAATCTGATATAGTCCATACTCGTCATACTAGTTCTTACGAATATAGGCAGAATTTGTGTGCACATTTAGCAAAATATCTCAATTGGTTTAAAAGTTATTAATTTTCGACAACTATGCTCTGTAAACAATGGCGTGTATGCATGTATACACGTATCAGCTGAGTTTACGTTCCAAATTAAAAAAAGGTTGCCATGATCAAATTCTCAAATGAGACTACCTTCTGTAATACAAATATAATTTTTATAACTTCCACGAAAAAGCACTAACTTGTGAACAAAATGAGACATTGGTCATAGAAATCGATGAACATTTTACATTTTTATTTAAATTTCAGAGAAGATATGGGAGCATAAGCCAAATAGCAAAATATCTCAATTGGTTTAAAATTTATTAATTTTCGACAACTATGCTCTGTAAACAATGGCGTGTATGCATGTATACACGTATCAGCTGATTGTCATTTAAAATGGTATTAAAGCCGGTGTATCGTAAATCCACAACATATAAGAACAAATTATACTTATGTAGTCCAAGTCAACGTTGTATACCATGGCATAATTGCAGAAAGTAGTGCTCAAAATCCCCCAGTATATCCCTAAATAGAATGACGTATATAGGAAGTGGCCATTGGACCAATAATGATCCAACCGAAAACCGTATTCTGGGCTAGCATCAATTGGAGAAATAATGAGGACATAACATTTCTTATTTAATAAGACTTCAACAGATCCATTGTCCCCAGAAATAGTGGAAATGTTCGTGGTACAATTATAAAAGGTAACAGCAAATCCCAGCTGATTTGATTCCAACGTAATACTAGTGTCAATATGCATTTGACAAATTATGTTTTTAAAAATCACCCAACAGGAAAATTGGGAACTTATTCAATTCGAAATTGTTCTTTATTAAATGTCCTCCCGTATTCAATTTACTCAATCTGCCTGCTGGGATCGTTTGAGGAAGCAAATCTTTCTTCAAGGAACAACTCGCTATTCCCAGCATTTGCATATGTGTTACAATGGATCAATTATAGTAAAGATGTGGAAACGATAGAAATATAAATTTGATATATTTTCATTCATGTTTTTCAATTTTTATTTTGTGGATTCAAAAATATTTCATTTTCAAAATAAAAATAATTTGATGATAATTTGTTTGTTTACATTTTTCTGTCAAAAGAGTTGACACTAGTAGAACTTACAACAACAAATTCCCATGTGGTTGTTGTATCGTCTGTTGTACAACAACACTTGCTGTTACCTTTTATTATTATACCATGTTCATAAATAAATTACGGTTCAGAAGCAGAGTCTATCAAAGCTCTGGCTACGTACCTATTAGCTTTATGAACTATATGAACATTTGCATTTATTTTGGTGCACCATTTACCTTAAATCGGACGAAGATATATATGGGAGCTATACGTAAATCTGAACCGATTTTTCCCAATTTCAATAGGGTTCGTCCTTGGGCCAAACAAATGAGCTGTGCGAAATTTCATCCAATTCGAATCATAAATGCGATGCAGTTTATTTAAACCTGAGCTAGTTTCACTATCTAAAACAAGTAAAGCGCAGCTGATGTTTTCGATGTGCAATGTTGCCAACGATGTGAAAGATTATAAAGAAAACATGTTTTGATGCATCACCTTATTATTGAATCATGCTCAGTAGGTTATATTTCGGAGAGTAAGCCTTTTTTTGTCATAATACTAAGAACAGTAAACTTATCTTGCAAAATATCACGTAAAATTTACTTTTTAGACTTGTTAAGGAAAAAAATTAAATATGTTTTTTGACTTTGGTCAAAATTTAAAATTAACAGCTGATTGCAATACATCGAAATCTTACTAGACGAAATTTAGTGGACTTTGGAGTAAACACACAACATTTGGTAAACAGACATAGAACATAATAATGAGATGAAAGTAAAATAATTATTAATGAAATTTGTGAAATACGACACTAATACAAGAAATAAATATGAGAAAAAATATATCAGTGAATTTGCGTTACTATTTTGTTGGTCTTTAGTCTAAACATTTAGGATTTAGTTCTTCGATTTACAAATCGAGACGATTTAAAATACAAAGCCGAAACGCGCCTTAGCGCCGGCAATTCAAGATTCCTGTCCTTGGTAAACGTATGTTGGTCTTAACTCGATTCACATATCCCTAGTGTGATTCCATGAATCAGCTGTAAATGACAATTATAGGCCATTTGTGTGGCGTTGAATAAAATAAACCTTATAAATCTTCTCGTCTAGGAATATAACAACTAATGGGGGATTGTTTATCGTTAAATAAATAACCAGGTTCCCGAACAGTTGCTGATGCTAAAATCCTACAATCCCAACACACCAAATATATTGAAGTGACATTAGGAGAACTGCAGTACTTATGGCGCTCAATACGTACACAATATTTGGTGTATTTTTAATTACTTTTTAATATAATTTTATTATTATCTTACAGATTACGGCAGTTCTATATGGAAATACCTCCGGTGACACGGTTTTATACGACTGCCTGTGTCATGACTACCCTGGCAGTGGTAAGTTTAGGACATCATACAAAATAGACACGTCATACATTCTAGCTATGTTTTATATGCTTAGGGCGCAAGAGTAAAGATATATTGCTTAAAGTTTATTCGATGTCTAACTAAAACTTAGTATTTATTCAAGTAACAGCACTGGGGTCTAGCCACAAACAAAAGTTTAGTATCCCAGCAATCGACACTTGTTCCATTTGTGGAAAACAGATTAATTTAAAACGATACATACTTCGGGAATATTGCTAATTTTGATCAGTTTCTATTTGTTAGTTTTTACTATGAGTTAGACAACCTGAAAGAGACAGGTTCACCAAACAAAGGTATTTCTTGGAATTACCTTCGATCTTTATTAGGTCGCATGTGCCTTACATAAAATATTAAACCAAAATATACATATACACGTATTTATGAAAACATGTTACATGAATTCCTTTGATAATTTATATTATTTTTAGCATTTAAACTTGGTGTCACCACTACAACTTTATTATAATCCAATTTTAATTTTGAACAAATTACAAATATGGAGATTAGCTACCACTTTCCTGTTTTTCGGATCGGTGGGTATAAGTTTTTTCTTCAACATGGTATTCACATACCGATATTGTCGTATGCTGGAGGAAGGTTCGTTCCGTGGTCGCAGTTCGGATTTTGTTATGATGTTCCTCTTTGGTGCTGCACTTATGACATTTTTTGGACTATTTGTTAACTTACTGTTCCTGGGACAGGCGTTTACCCTGATGCTGGTATATGTATGGTCGCGACGAAATCCCTTTGTTCGTATGAACTTCTTCGGTGTAATGAACTTCCAGGTACGTGTGTTTTATAATGCGTTCAATATGTTTAAAATATAATAAACCCATTTTATTTAGGCTCCGTATTTGCCGTGGGTTCTTTTATGCTGCTCTATGATTCTGGGCAATACCATATGGGTCGATATCATTGGCATGGGTGTTGGTCATATATATTATTTTCTAGAAGACGTATTTCCATTCCAAAGAAACGGTTACAAGTTTATAAGAACTCCATTTTTCCTGTAAGTATTTTGTAAATATTTCAAGATTTATTCTAATATTGAAACTTCCAGGAAAGTTCTATTTAATGAACATATTGACCGTAATTATCAGCCTCCACCCGAGGACCGACCAGGCGGCTTTAATTGGGGAGGAGAAGATGGTCAAGAACAAGCACAGGAAAACAACGGTGACGAAGCAGCACAAAATCAAAGAGGACCAGTTCTGAATTAAAATAAAATTGTAATATGTAAATAACATAATCCCGCCGTCATTTTTACTATGGTCACCACAAAGGGCAAGGCAGCCATTTTTCCATTTCCAAAGTGTTTCAATGGTCTAAGTTTTTCAATAACACACATATATTTTATCTTCAGGTGTACATAAATTTAAGAAGTACATGTGGAATGAGCGTTTCCGATAAAACTTACGTTAAGCATCGACTAATAAAACAATATATGGTAAATATTAATATGCTGCATTTATTTTCATAATTTTAGTGGAAACAGCCCTTAAAGACTTCCTTTGGCGACAAAATACATTGTGAACTATACCACAATTTGTTTAAGGGCGTGCAGTCAGTCGTTTTGATTTATAATGTAACTACAATTTCGTAAACTTCTTAAAATCTACAATAATTTGCATATTCATTAGCTTCGATTAGTAGAATACCAATTACATATTTGATTCGATACGCCTTGTATTTTTGACAATTTTTATATTGGAAGATTGCCTAAAATACATTTTCAACATGCACATTCGGTTTCCCCCCATTAAACATTTTCATGATCCGATATTCAGCAGTTTAAAAACAATGAATTTTTCGTTGTTGAATTTAAACTTTTGCGCTACTACGTACATGTTTTAACTACGACGTGTTTTTTGTTATAGAAAATGTGTGACTGTGTATGTGATGTTTTGAAAAATGAAAATAAAAGAATATATTCTAAAATCTATTTGTAATAAGAAATTTACGATTTGTCGATGACTCGGTATCTAAATCATATTCCCAACTCGATTTTGAAAAGAAAACCTGACATTCAATTCATTTTTCGCTTTTTTGGTAAAATGTTACTAATATGCCAAATGAACCTGACGACTTGATGTATTTGGTTTTACAGTGAACTAATTAATGTCAGGGTAGATCATATTTTCGAATGTATTTTCTCTTTGTTGACAAAAGATACCCAACCCTGTATAATTGTACCATGCTGCAATGTATTTTTATCATACACGGTACAGTTTTTGTAAAATCGACATGACTACGACAATCGTGATAAGGGGCAAAGTATTTCAAAACGTCAAAAATGATATTTAGAACATATAAACAATTATCGGATTAGCATGACTGACATTATTATCCGAAGAGAAAGTTTTAAAATTTGTCACGGCACAAAAATACTAAAATTGTAAAAAAAAAATCCAAAAGACTATTTTTTGAATATTACCAAAACAGTACACTTTGACCTCTCTTTTACGTTGGAATCGTGTAATATGGTCGAATTATTAAACACTTGCTCGCATCAATTTGCTCTCTAAATATGAAGCTGTGATTTCCCAAAAATAAATAAATAAACATGTTGACATGCTGCAATCTTATGTTTTCAATATAATAAATTTGTTAGGTCCTAATAACTCAAATCATGTAAGTATTATACTGTTTTTATTATGTTTTTTTTTAGCTATTAGCTTTGGCAAATGCCCATTAGTGTATAATTATTAATAAGAACGTACATATTTATATTAATAATGTAGCACTATTTCAATAATAATCATTGGAAGGGTCTCACAAATATATTCAAAAAAGGACATTGGATATAAATAACAATCCGACTAAATCGAAGACCTGAGGAATTGCTCTAACAAAAAATTATGAATTTAAGTAAAATAGTGAAATAATGACATACAAATGGGGAATATGAAATTATGATATAAATGAAATTGTCATGAATGTGATAATTATTGTGACGAATATTACACAAACAAATGGTTATAAGATTCAACTAAACTTAGTCTATTTAAAAATGAAGTTTATAATGCGAATGGGTTTATCTCACGCTGGACAAAAATTTGTTTGTTCAGGTGTTCCTTTAAATCGTGAACTTATATGAATATAATAAGAATATCTAATTACATTGCTACGGTTGCAAGTACCACAGTTATATCGTCTGGTTTGCCACCTGCAAAAAATTGGTATTAGGATAGAATTATTTAAAATGTTAAAACACGGATACGCTATGGTTGGTATTTACGTCTCTTTTGAAGTAACCTTTGAACACGGTGGCCTTTGGCAATACGACACAAGCGTAGTGCATATATAAAATCTATAACATCACAATATACTACAAAGCTGTCAAAGAATTAATAGCGACGAAAAGACCAACCATAGTAATACCGTTTTGGGACATACCCGTTGCGTTAATGTTGTTTCGTCTGGCATTAATTGCAAACGGTGACATAAATTCACTGTCAAATGACAAAGAACGTGCCATCAGCGCCAGCGAGTTGGCAGTCATCTGTAATTTTACAGGATCTGTAACACCTTCCACCTGAAAATGTACAAGACAAATTTAGAACTAGTTCGTTTTTTTTTTAATTTATGTGAATTGTTACCTCCTTTAGAACGTCGAGTAGTAACGTTTCGGGAACATTATCAAATACTCCGTCGGTTGCCACTAATATGACATCACCTTCTTTGACTGGAAAACTCAACGTATCAGCTGAATCTGGGCTATCGCTCAATACATTATGATCATGACCCGGTGGTGGCAATGACAATTGGAAAGGCGTATTAAAATAATGTTGTTGTTCCTCAGACTTATGTATTATTTCACCTTTGCGAACAACCATGAAACCACTATCTCCAATATTAGCAGTATAAACAGTACTATTTTCACGATTTAGCACTAACACACAAGCAGTACTGCTTCCTAGAAAGTAAACCATATTAAACTAATTAGGATTATTACTTATTGAAAGAAAACATAAAACAGATAATATACCGGCAAATGCACGCAGAATTCTTTGCTGCTCCCGGGGATTTAAAAATTCCACAATTCTTAACTACTAATGTAAATTCACATCGTTTGAACGATATGGTTAAAACTTAAGGATTAAGGATTTGCGTATATTCAATTGTTAACTTTCCCGATGTATTTGTTCAATAATTTTGTATTAATGTACATTTCCTAGAATGAAGACAAATGTCGAACTTTGACAAATTTGAATTTAATTCGCATATGCAAGTTTCGCATCAGGGCTGAATAAATACAAGTTATCAACATACGACCTTTGTAAAGCCACATAGCCCAACATGCCTGATGAGCCGCTTAACCAACGGTGAATTGCGTCGCAAAATGGTGGGTACGTAGGTTCTTCTCCTGGCTTTCCTTTTCATTGCAAAACTTAGATCATTGAGCTCGACTCGAAAGAGTATAAATAATCACTTAAAAATTACTTTCCAATGATCACTGCCCTTACAAGGCAAAATTCAAATAACAAAAAGTAAATTTCTTTTGACAAATTCACTTGCCGACATGATATGTACCTATAGTCAGCATATCGCATTTCAGTTAATCAAAAAGTATATATGTACGTAATTGTTGTTTTTTAATTGTATGAATGCAGCGAGGAGTAAACAAACGACGCCGCCACTGCAGAATCGATTTACAGTGAAGCACGGTTATAATATTCTAGTAGGGACCAAACAAACTAGTTATTTAAGCCCGTACCTAAATTCAGTGAGTTGCGTACTAAAATACCCACATTGTCACCTTTACAACGTTACTTAAAATTCAACGTGACGTACAAAAATATTCAACATACCCACTATGGCAAAATGTTTTGTACGGCCGTATTACCCAAATACGTCGAATCGATATTTCTTAGCGAACTAAACAAAATTGCGAAACAAATTTAAAAAAATATACAATGTATTCAAATATTTCACATTCTTATTGAAATTTTCTTTTTGTTTCGTTTCAAATTTCAACAAAAGAAAAAAACAAAACTACGTTCTGTCATAGTTGAATTTGTTCAAAATTGTTCTACTTTTGTGGTAAAAAACGTCGAACGCCCTAGTTGAATTTTAAGTAGTGCTCTTATAGGGTTTGTTGAACATCCGTATTACCCAAATACGTAAGGACTTTATTTGTGTGTTGAATATTTTCAAATTTGAAAATCCATACGTCGACGTATTTCGGTAACATTCATATAAATGCAGACAGCTTTCAAAACTTAAGTCCTGATTTATATTAGGCGAGTGTACTTGCGGCAATTTTTATCGTTCTCTTTTGAACTTGCTTCATGCGTCTATACAAGGCAATTCGGTTTCCAAAATATTTTTTGTTTTTTCACATTTAAAAATATATAAAATGTCAACAAATACGAAATACACAAAACGAATTGCCAAAAAATTGTCGGTACGAGCAATTTTTTTTTCATTTCTATTCCCCTTGCCCCTCTCTCCTACAAACAAAGACTTGCCGCAAGTAAACTCGCCTAATCTAAATTGAGACTTACAGCCTTACCTAAAATTCAACTAGCTCGTTCTACGTTTTTCACCACAAAAGTAGAACACATGTATGAATGAATGAATTTTCAAAGTTGAAAAATTCAACTATGACAGAACGTACCCAGTTGTTCAAAAAATATCAATTGTCTGTTATTATATAGTTATATAGGTAGTTACTTGGTGATATAGTTACTTTATACCCCAAAAAGGGACATAAAATTGAATCGACAATGAAAGCAAAACAAAACAGAACAATTGTTTTGTCGTTTTGTTTAGACTTTTTGGGAACATTCGGAATTTTAAAAGCAAAAATTGATTTGAAATATGTTTTCAATATTCGAATGAAATACAGATGATAAATCTGAGGTAAGTTTTGATTTTGTAACACAATATAGACCAATGTAATCCTTCTACATACTTCATTTCCAGATTTCTATGGATATCGCCCTTTCAGAAACCGCCACAGATTCAGAGAGAACACATAAAAAGGAACACACTCTTAGAGGAGCATTAACATGTCGTCTGTAAGCATTTAATACCGATACAGGAAGAGGTATCGCTCCATAGAAGTCCAAACGCATCAATAAATGCTTCCTATTTTCTACATGTATGTTTTCGATATATGTAGGTCTTCTAACTTCAACTATTTCTAAACCGTCTATTTCAGACAAACCTATAGGGAGACATATTTGAAAAGCACTCGTCCGACAAAAGAATCGTGAACTAGGGATGAATCAGATGGATCAAACAATATATATATATGTATGCACTACTGTTTTATAATAAATATATTTGTACAGAATAAATGTTAATTTTTCAAACTGTTATACAACTAATTTTCTATACATAAGTAACTAGGCATTTAATTTATAGTTTGTATCAACTCAGGTAACCCAAATGTACAATCATTGGTTACTAACGAAATGGCTGGCTACTGGTAACGCAGGCAGGGGACAATTGACTTCTCCAATGACATACCCATGTTAAATTCACCAGTCTAGGGCATGATGTGGTAACTAGTGGTAGTTACAGGTAATTAGTAAAATAACTAGTTCATAACCAGTTACTCGAACTACTGAGTAGTTTTGTTTTTTTTTTTTCTTTTGTTGAAAATAAAACAAAATATAAAAAAATAAAAATATAAAAGAATATGAAATATTTGAACAAATTTTATAATTTCCTATTTTTTTTCGTTGGATATTTTTGTACGCTTCGATGGAATTTACGTTACCTAAAATCCGACGGGGCGTACAAAAATATTAAACTTCCTCACTATGGCAAAATGTTGTGTACGGCCGTACTACCCAAATACGTCGAATCCATATCTTCAAGCAAATAATACAAACCGCAAAACTAAATTGAAAATTGAGTTTTAACACTCCAAGAGTCCATAATGTTGGTTGAATTTGCTTTTTTAATTACGCCTTTTGCATTTTAGCTAACGATGTATTGCCTCAAGAGTTTGTAGCTGCACGACTCATTTTTTGTAGTTTGAGCTGTATATTGAACGATTATTATGAAAATAGTCATATTAATTTGTAGCCCAGATCCCCGTCTGCGTAATTTCCTGGGTTTGGGGCATAATTGTGGCATCTAAATATAAACCGGTCACTACCAAAACCAATAAAAGTACATACAAAATTTTCAGAATTCATCAAGGGAAATTATTTAAAGATGCCGACAAATACAGAATAGTTTATTCAAAATAGTGCTAATGTTGTGTTTTCAGAAGATAATTTTTCAATCATCATTTGATTTGGGTCATGATAATCAGATTATAAATTATAATGGACAGACGGACAGATGACAAACGATATACAAAAATTTGAGCCTAGAAGTAGTGCAGCTACAAACTCTTGAGGCAACACATAGTTTTAACATACATGTGTAGGGTATTAAAACATTTTGTTCTGATTGGTTGGATCAAATTTGCCTAAATTTTGAAATGACAAGGCCAAGGCCTATATAAGGTCGGTGAATATAAAGTTTTTTGTGAAATCATATTTTGAAACCTATACAAACATACAAAATTATGTTAGATGTCAAAACGAAAATATTAATATTTTGTCAATATTCAATTTAATATTAATTTATATCGTCTTTTTACAGAACATTTGGAATATTTCAAGAGTTTAAACAAGATTTTCAAGTAAATTATCATACAAATTACAGATTGTGTTGTGTTTTGGCTGTGTTTTTCATTTAAAGGCGAAACAATTAGTTTTCGCCTCGGCAAAAAAATGACGTTAAACTTAAGTTTTTTCTACCTTATATAGGAATTGAATTGAACTACATTTAAAAGTAACGAAAAACAAGGGATAAAAAAGAAAGGCATAGCGACTTTGGGATCAAAATAGATTTTGTTCGATGGGACCTTTTTATCTTCTCTGTATGTTATTGTTTTTTCAAGTTTCATGTGAGGACGCAAAAATTGCCCAAATCTTGTTATCTCTCTATACACCCGATGGCACAAACATTCTTGCATTTAAGGCGCTCATCTGATGTTATTTTTTATACAAAAATCAGATATTTACACAAACACTTACAATTTTTAAAATATTCAAAAAATAAACAAATAACAACGTTAACTCAAATTCGACGGGGCGTACAGAAAAATTCAACTTCCCCACTTTTGCAAAATGTTTTGTACGGCCGTATTACCCAAATACGTCGAATCCATATATTCAAGCGAATAATAGAAATCGCAAAACAAAATCGAAAATTTATTGAAGTAATCCAAATATTTTACGTTCACATTCGAAATTTCATATTTTCTGAATGTTTTGTTTTTATTTTCAACAAAAGAAAAAAATGAAAAATACGTTCTGTCAAAGTTGAAATTTTTCAACTTTAAATTTTGTACGTTCGACGTATTTCGGTAACATTCATATAAATACATGTGTTCTACTTTTGTGGTGAAAAACGTCGAACGAGCTAGTTGAATTTTAGGTAGGGCTGTAATTTTCATTTTTCAAAATGCTTAATTCTAATGGATGGAAGTTAATTTTCTTCGATTTTTTACGTAAAGGCGAATTTATTATTATTCGCCTTGTTAACAATTTTGACATGTATTTATATGAATGTTACCAAAATACGTCGACGTAGGAATTTTCAAAATTAAAAAAATTCAACTATGACAGAACGTAGGTTTGTTTTTTCTTTTGTTGAAAAAAAAATCAACTATGACAGAACGTAGGTTTGTTTTTTCTTTTGTTGAAAAAAAAACAAAATTAAATTATAAAAATTTCAATAAGAATGTAAAATATTTAAATGCATATTAAATACATCTGTACGGCCGTACAAACCATTTTGCCATAGTGGAGAACTTGAATATTTTTGTACGGCTCGTTGGAATTTAGGTAACGTTATGGTATACAAGGTAGGGCACAGCTACCAACTGATTACAATTTTTTCTCAAGGTGACTGTTCCATCAAATCAAAACACATATTTTGAGTATGTATGTGTATTGTTTTGTCAATACACATACAAATAAATTCAAAATAAATTGAAATATCTTCAAATTTAATTGAAATGAAAATGATGTTTTCAAACATGTTCGTCTGGAAGTAATTACTTTGTTATGGATGAAACAAACATTTTCATCATATCCTTTCATTCATTTTTCGCGTTTTTAGTTTTGTGTTGAAAAAATGTCAAATAAACACAAACACTTGTTGCAAATATTTATTTTATTTTTGGCAGAATAAGCCACACGTGCATAGTTGATTTTTTGTTATTCACCTCATGCTGCCCTACCTTGTATTATTATACCAAATATGGAAATGAACTGCTATTTTCTCGCAATAACATTTTGGTTTACTATTTAATTTAAAGAGAACTAATAAATGCGTGAAAAAATGAAACAATATTTTTTTATACTTTATGTCCACCCAAGTTGTAAGTTCAATATGTACTGCACTGCGTACTGTAAATTTACAGAATAAAGAACTTACCAAGAATAGGCTTCTTTTGTTCCAGTAACTCGCAATAACTATATGCTAAGAGATTTACAGGCTTTTGCGGGTTGAAGTTTACACAGTGGACGAGGCGCTCGCATGTCTTCATAAGAAATGAAGAAAATTCACCAGGATCTATACCATAGCTTCGCCAACCACCAACTCCGTCAGCAACACCTAAACCAACAAACATTTTAATGTACGACATGTAGTGTTCACCACAACATTATTCTTACCTAACACATCTGAATTCGATGTCGATGTTTTAAACCAGGAATCTTCTCCATATTTCCCAGGTTTGTATTTAGATGTAAGAAAATCCTTAGGGAATCCACATACTACCGACACAAAATGAGGTCGAGATTTGTTTGATCCAGCCGATGTGACATTGGATGCAGACTCCATCAGCGTGGAGAATCCACTGCGCAAGGCACGTGAAATAACTCTCGACGTCCAGCTGAGTGAATGCATTTTCTCGTGTATGTGTGTATCTAGTTGTTACAGTGGTTCACATGTGGACCAAAATATGCAGATGGGGGTCCTGTTCGTTTACCTAGAATAACTAAAATCAAAAACGCACTTTGCTATGTTCGTTGTAACCAACATCAACCAAAACCAAACAATTATGCGTCTTAGTGTGATTTATTTATAACACACTTTGTTTTGTTCGATTTTACGTCAAAGTCACAAGATGCCTGGCCTAGAAAAGTTACGTTATTCGGTAAATCGTTGTGTATCATCTATTCCTCACGAATAGAGTATCCGTCTAAATTGTAGGATCTAATTTAATTCATTTATTCGTATCGTTACTATCGCAGAAACATATATCGAAATACTTTTATTTAATATGTTAAATTCTCGTGAAAAAAACGTACGTAGTTATGTTAGCAGAGTAGCAATTTTCCCATTTGCTTCAAATAGTAAAGTCACTGGGTGTTTCATAATTAGGGATACGTAAGTCAAAGTGTTGGTTGAAAATGACAGCTGTCATATCAAGGAAGTTATAATAAGGTGGCCGCATTGGAAATTTATTGTAACAAAAAACGATTGTACAATTGGTCTGTTCCAGTACTTTTTTAATAGTAAACCTAGTAAGAGGAAAACATTTCAAAATCTAGCAATTGTTAACGTGATTGTTGAGATGTTATTGTTTTATTTTATAGTCGAGGATTTTCGCGTTGAGCCATCCGTCGCGTTATATGTTATCGAAAATACAACAACCACAAGGAAACGATAAACCAAACGCATATCGTTTCCTTGTGGTTATGTATTTTCGATATCATATAACGCGACGGATGGCTCAACGCGAGCATTCTGCTTAGCCCTTAACAGCCAATCAGAAGTAGGCATTCATGTTTACCATTTTTACTCGACCAAATTTCTCGAGTAGAAAGTTTACAAAGAGAAAGCTATTTTGTTTTGTGCTCTCTTAAATTTGATTCAATGTTTTACCAGTTTTGTGGGTTGAGGAACGGGTTTCGAGTAAAAAGTTGAAAAACTGCAAAAATGGTAGATTCTTTTAGGTTCTGGAACGGGACTAATGATCTCAAAATTATTTTGAAACAACAAACCGATTCATAAGATTTTTAACACAAATTTATTCAGCAAATTTTAATAAATACATTGCCGAATAAAATGGTTTCTGTGTGTCTGTTTTTTATTTTTCTTTTATTCAATTACAATAACATTTTTGACACCAATTGTGTCATATCTGTTTGTCATTTCCTTGATAAACACATTGAATAAATGACAATTTACAAAAAACATAACTTATACAGTAAACTAGGGTTATAGCGAACTAATAGGGACCAAGCAAATTAGTTCGCTATAGAAGAAGCTCGTTATATCCAAGGTAAGGCAAACCCCGATGAGCAGGAAAAATATATATTCAGTTCCGAAACTGCCAGTTTTTGTTTCCTTTTTGACAATACTTAAGCGCTTCTCTATTTTGTAAAGGTTGCCAGCGTTATGGTATTTATTAACTCTTGTGCGGATTGTCATCGTTAAGTATTCTGTATATTTGTAAAATGTTCGTTATAACCGAAGTATTCTGTATATTTGTAACATGTTCGTTATAACTGAAGTAAAATAGATGAAAACTGAAAGTTGTGCCGCAAAAAAGAGTTCGTTATAGAAAAAGTTCGATATATCCGTAGTTCGACATAAGAGTAAAGATTTGTATGAAAACTCTGTCTTAAAACTTCGGGACAATGAAATGTGTTCGCTAAAAAGAAAGGTCGTTATAAGCGTTCTTGACTGTAGTACTTTGTATGTTTTGTTTACATTTTCAATGACACTAGTCATGGCATAATTATACAAGGTAACTGCAATACTCAGCTGATTTCATTGTATTGTTACGTTCTTGGATTTTGCTAAATCCCGTGTAGACGTTGTTTTATTTCCCGATACAATTCGTACCAAATAAAACGCGGGTTCTTTCAGATTACGATTATTACAATGACTTTATTCACACAACTTTACTTTGCACTTTACTTTACACGACGGTTTCAATTCGCGATCTGATTCACAACTGACTCACTGCCTTTCCATTCCCTCTATTTATATGAGCCCTGCCTGTCGCTACAGAAGTTTCTAGACGATCTGGTAACACCTAGATCACGAACAATCTACCAATGCAACAAACACATTGAGTAACAATAACAACAACAAACTTACTGAGTGAACAATAACAACAACAACAAACTTGAGTAAACAAACTTACAATAACAACAACACATATACAGGCGAGGGAATAACAAAGAAAGAGGAATAACAACAACACATATACAGGCGAGGGAATAACAAAGAAAGAGGAATGACGTTTAACAAGAATTGTATGACAATAACAAAATAGAAAATGAAAGAGGAAATGGAAGGATGTAGAAAAATCTATACAGTGGTTGTTGTTGTGAAGTTATTCAAATAAACTGCGTAGTAGAAATTTACGTTACAATTCAAATTCTTAAATTAACGGAATTCATCTAAATTAACTTAAATCTAAAGTTATATTCGTAACATTGCCCCCCGCTTAAGCCTGTTCGTCCCGAATAGGCACAGTTCCCGTTCCGTAGGGGGTCAGCCGCTCCAAATGTACAACTTTCATCTTCGACCTGGGACTGTCGCTCCTCTGGATGCGATAAACGACGTCATTTATTTTCGTGACAATCTTGTAGGGTCCTTCCCAGTGCGTTTGCAATTTGGGGCATAGTCCTTTCTTTCGTTGTGGGTTGAACAATAGTACCAGTTGCCCTTCTTGAAACCCATCGGTATTTGCCGCTCGATCGTACCTTGCCTTCATGCGGTTGCTAACCATTTTTATTCGATGTCGGACTGCATCGTGGACTTTACTAAAAGAGTTTTGGCTGTCTTCATCTTGGTTCACATCGTCGTTTGGGGTAGCACCGAATATCAAATCGCCAGGTAGCTTTAATTCATTTCCGAACAGAACTTTGGCTGGGGTCCGGGATGTGGAATCATGAATGGCCGATCTATAAGCCAATAAAAACTTTGGAATATGCTCATCCCAGTCTCGTTGGCCACTGTCCACCACTTTCCGTAGATGTTCTTCAAGGGTGCGATTGAATCTTTCCACCATGCCATCTGATTGTGGATGTAGGGGCGTCGTTCTGGTTTTCTTAATTCCGTAGGAGTCACACATTTCCTTGAAGATCGCTGATTCAAAATTCCTACCTTGATCGGAATGAACCTCAGATGGAACACCATAGCGACAAATCCAATTTTTGCTGAACACATCCACAATTGTCCTGGCTTCTTGATTTGGGATAGCATAAACCTCCGGCCATTTACTGAAGTAATCCATGACCACTAAGACATACCGGTTCCCAGAGTCGCTTGTGGGGAACGGTCCAGCTACATCCATTGCGATTCTTTCAAAAGGGGCTCCTGAATTATACTGCTGCATGTAGCCTCGACTCTTCCGTGTTGGACCCTTAGCTTTTATGCACCTTTCACAATTGGCGATCCAGTCGGCAATGGATTTTTGACAGCCGACCCAGTAGAATCTCTGCTTTACCTTTTCAGCGGTCTTGGCTATGCCAAGATGTCCTCCACTTGGCCCATCGTGAAACTCCGACAAGACATCTCTTATTTTGGAGTCTGGGACGACGATCAAGTTCCGGTGAGATTTACCGTCCTCACTTTCCCATTTGCGATATAAGCAGCCATCTTTTATAAGTAGACTGTCCCACTGGGCCCAATAGGATTTTAAAAGAGGGCTTTCGGAGGTAATTTCTTTACGACTAGGTCGCTTGCCCGTTTCAATGGCCGAAATTACTTTGCCCAGAATGGGATCTCTTCGTTGTTCCGTCGACCAATCTTCACCCGACTCAAACTGCAATAGTCGGACATCAACGATATTCTCCTTATTCTCAGCCTTTGAGCAATGCCTGCATTCTACCTTGCATGGCCGACGAGACAGGGCATCAGCATTACCGTGTTTTCCGCCTTTTCTGTGCTCGATTCTGAAATCATAACTCTGGAGCCTCTCGATCCAACGGGCTAGTTGACCTTCCGGATTCTTAAACCGCAGCAACCATTGGAGAGCAGCGTGGTCGGTCCTCAGCAGGAAATGCTGGCCATATAGGTATTTGTGGAAGTGTTTAACGCTCTCAAGGGCAGCAAGCAGCTCTCTCCTCGTCACACAGTAATTCCTCTCAGGCTTCGACAATGTCCGGCTGTAGTACCCGATGACTTTTTCCTGTCCGTCGATTTCCTGGGAAAGGACGCCACCGATGCCGCACGCACTTGCGTCTGTGTCCAGAGCAAACTTTCCGCCAGGTATAGGGTATGCCAAAATGGGGGCTCTACATAGCATGTCCTTGAGTTTACTGAACGCCTCTTCTTGGTCGTTGCCCCACTGGAACCTCTGGCCCTTTTGCGTTAAGCGGTGTAGACAGGCGGCGATGTTGGCAAAATTTGGGACAAATCGACGGTAGTAGGTGCAGAGACCCAGAAAGCTTCGCAGCTCATGGAGATTTCGGGGCTGCGGCCAATCTCTGACGGCTTGAATTTTCTCCTTATCCGTCGATATGCCCTCCGGCGTCACGTGATGTCCCAGGAACTTCACCTCTCGTTGGAAGAGACTGCACTTCTTTGGGTTCAGCTTGAGGCCTGAAGACGAAAGCTGCTGAAGAACATCCTTTAAATTCTTGATGTGTTCGTCGAAGTTGCGTCCCATGACTATGATGTCATCCAGATATATGAGGCACGACTTCCACTGCAGCCCTTTTAACACACGCTCCATCAGCCTTTCAAATGTAGCCGGGGCGTTGCAGAGTCCGAATGGCATGACATTGAACTGCCAGAGACCCCCATTAACGCCAAACGCTGTTTTCTCTTTATCTTTCTCGGCGATCTCCACTTGCCAGTACCCACTCTGCAGGTCGAGGGTGGAGAACCATGACGTCCCGGCTAATGTGTCCAAGGTGTCGTCGATTCTTGGGAGCGGATAGCTGTCTTTCTTGGTGACATCATT